TCATACTAATATATATGGAAATATAATCATACTATGTACATAGAATATTTTATAATATTCTAACAGAAAGTAATAATTATTTAATTGAATTATACATATTATCATTGAAGTTTCAGATAGAATGTTTATTTGTTGTTTCCCCTTGAAATTTGTCTGCTTACTCTGTCCTCATTTTGCTATTTGGTGTTCCGTTGGTATTTATGATGGTACACAGTGAGTATCATGAACTTGCTGTTGAATTTTGCATTTGAGAATTGATATATTTTTATTTTTATTTTACCAGGACTTTTATCCTCTTAAAGACAGTTAGTCGAAGATTTCATATGTACACTCGTAGAAGTATAACCTATTCTTTGTAACACTATTTCGTGGGAGAGGAATGGGTACCCAGATTACTTCAGCTAATGATCGTTCAAGGACATATTGGACTCCAACAATGGAACGCTATTTTATTGATCTTATGTTAGAGCAGATGCATAGAGGAAACAGGATTGGCCATACCTTCAACAAGCAGGCTTGGACCGACATGCTCACAGTATTCAATGCCAAATTTGGTTCTCAATATGACAAAGATGTCTTAAAAAGTCGTTATACAAATTTGTGGAAGCAATTTAATGATGTGAGGAATCTCCTTAGTCAGAGTGGGTTTTCTTGGGATGAAGCTCGACAAATGGTGATAGCTGATGAATATATCTGGAATGCATACATAAAGGTGCCTTACCTGCTCTATTCTTTCACGTTATAACCTGTATTGCTTTTCTGAGTAACATGGTTTGTTCATTAGTATAATAAAAGTTGTGATGCTATATTTGTAAAGGACATGGATTTGTGCAGGCACATCCTGATGCGCGTGCCTACAAGACAAAACAAGTGCTAAATTTTGATGATTTATGTCTAATATATGGACATACTGCTGCAGATGGGAGATATAGTCGATCAAGTCATGATTTAGACTTTGAGGACGAAACCCAAGGAGTAAATATGGGTGTGTACAGTTTTCTTTAACCTTAGGCTAAGTCTTTACTGCAGCTGAAAGCTTTTTTTTTGTTTTATTTTTATTTTTATCAGTGCTGTTCTCTATTTCGTAGTGTTTAGAATGTAAAGAAACAAAAAGATGTGGCTTTCTTCTCCATGTAGGATTTTGTCAAGAGGGGGACTCACATTTTGCATGCTGGAACCTCCAAACCCAACCCCACCCCCAACCCCAAAACGAAAAAAAAGAAAAGAAAAAAAAAGCAGCTGCAAATTTCTCTGTGAAGTCTTTTTTCTTCTCTCTTAAAATAATTTGACCACCATTGGGTACTGGCAATCAGGTTGTGACTTTATAAGTTGACTATTTTTATGCAGCTGTAAATTTCTTTTTGGAGTTTTTCATCTCTCTTAAAATAATTTGCCACCATTGGATACCTGATAATCAGATTGTGACTTTATAAGTTGACTATTTTTATTATGTTTGACTTTCAAATGATGGTTTCATACGTGAGTAAGTTTGGATTTATCACTCTGTTTGAGGTAAATAATTCACTAATTGGCTAATCAAGTTTTAGGTGATGGAGCTGTTACTCCTGCTTTCTCAAGTAACGAGCGTCCGAGGACTGACTGGACCACTGCTATGGACCAATATTTCATTGAGCTTATGCTGCACCAAATAGGAAGAGGCAATAAGACTGGTAATACTTTCAACAAACAGGCTTGGACAGATATGCTTTCTCTGTTCAATGCAAAATTTGGTCCTCAACATGGGAAAAGGGTTTTAAGACATCGACACAAGAAATTGTGGAAATACTATAGTGATATGATGGTTATTCTGAAACAAGATGGCTTTTCTTGGGATGAAAAGCAACAAATGATTGCAGCAGATGATGGTGTTTGGGATGCTTATATCAAGGTTCATGAAGTTCAGTTTCATATTTAATTGTCTTACCTTCTTAGTATTATTGAGGTAAATATATTTCTTGCAGGCACATCCAAACTCACGGACATATAGAATGAAAACCTTGCCAAGCTACAACGACTTGGTCCTAATATATGCGGGTGATGAAGGAGCTTCAGGTTGTTTATCTCAAGACAAAGAACCCCAAGATGAGATTTCAGGGGTAAAAGCTGGTGAGTTACAAGCTTTATCATTGAATTAGTTTATTCTACTTCCTGGTGGATCATAGTGTACGATAATTTGATTAAAGTTGGTTTCACATTTTTTATTTAAGATTTGGGGGAAAGATTAGAGAAATGGAATCTGAGCAGCATTTTGGTTCCTTATCTAAAATATTCAAGAGATCTCGTACATGACAAATTATGAACCAATCATTGTAGCCAAATCTATAATGAAATTCTTCATATTATTGGTTCCCAAACTTATCATATACCATGTTGTCCTTATTATAACCTATAATCAATAAAGGCACAGTACTGCTTGATAGATGACTTGTTGCTTCTACAAGTAGATCTTTGTGAATGTAGGTGAAAGAAGGATAAGCCAAATTCCTTCTGGTGGTGATCGTACGCGGACATATTGGACTCCACCAATGGATCGTTATCTTGTCGACTTGCTACTAGATCAGGTGCATAGAGGAAATAAACTTGGACAAACCTTCATAGCCCAGGCTTGGGTTGACATGGTCATATTATTTAACACAAAATTTGGATCAAATCATGACAAAGATGTTCTAAAGAATCGCTACAAACATTTGAGGAGGCAGTACAATGATATAAAGTTTCTTCTTGAGCAAAGTGGGTTTTCATGGAATGAAGCAAGAGATATGGTAACAGCTGAAGATAGTGTTTGGGATGCTTATATCAAGGTAATTGCCTGCCTTTTGTCTTGTTTAATTCACTGTCTTTGTTCTGTTGCTTATCCAAACTTTATGTAGGAACGTCCTGATGCTCGCTCATATAGAGTTAAAACTGTTCCAAGCTATCACAAATTGGGTATCATATTTGGAGAAGATATATATGATGGAAGATACACGCACCTGGCCCTAAATCTGGAAGTCAATGATGAAACACCTGTGCTAATGACAGGTAGGGATCTTTTATTACCGATGATAATATTTATAAGAATATTATATGCAGGCCATATCAATAGATGAATTTGGTCCAATATCTGCAGGTTTTATTTTCTATTTTTAGATGTGTCTATTGAAATACACAATCACTAGGCAATGATCCGAAGTGGGAAATTGCTTGAAAAGGGGTGGCAAACATTAGTTGATACGTGTCTTTAGTTTTTCTTTTTCTGAAGCAAATAATGCCTAACTGATGTGCAAAGGATTTATATAATGCTATGTTGGATGTTGAATTATATGAAGCATTTTTTCTTCTTGCATCTCCTGCATTCATGCTTTTCTACCGGTCTGCAGGTACGGAGAAAAATGACCACCTAAACTCTAGCATAAATCCTCCAAGAATTGAATGGACATTACCAATGGACCGTTATCTTATTGATCTTATGCTACAGCATACACACAGAGGTAGTAAAATAAGTCAGACATTCACTGAGCAAGCATGGGCTGACATGGTTGTATCTTTCAATGAAAAGTTCACAGTGCAGTCTGACATATATATTTTAGAAAATCGGTATATTTGCTTGATGAAAGAGCATGATGACATCAACAATCTTCTCAGTCATGTTGGGTTCTTCTGGGATGAAAGCAAGCAAATGGTTACAGCGGAAGAGGTTGTCTGGGAAGCTTATATTAAGGTATGTATACCACTCATAACTTTTTAGAAAAAGATGTATCATTTTTTTTGTTAAGAGTATTGCAACTTATGCTGCATAGGCTAGGTTTAACACATTCCCTTCGCCATAGTGCTGCATGCTGAAATACCTTCTTATTGGGACAGTTGCTTTCCCCTAGTGATTCCCAGTTGCTACATGGTGTTGGATAGGAGATCTATACATCAGTTTTAGTCCAACCTAACATCTCACTTATCATTCCCCACCTCCTCCATCTAACAAAAGCTAAGAAGGAAAGAGGGAAAATGAACCACTCCTTTTCTTTCTTTTCTCATGAAGTACTCCCTCTTTGGGCAAGGGAGCTTTATCAGCCATAGATAATGAAGGCTAAGTTTATGTTTTTGTATTCATTCTCTCCAAAACTTATAGTTGTTTATACATGATATTTTGTAGGAGCATCCAGATTTTATCTTATACAGAGATAAGTTCTTAGGCAATTACAATGATTTGTCTAAGATATTTGCAAGTGAAGTACCAGATGGGAGAGTCAATTATGAAGCTGTGGGGATGGAGATGGAGAAGAAAGATGAGCTCGAAGCAATGGACATTGATGGAGTATCAGGGGACTTGGCATGCCAAGCTGCACATATTGAATTATGTGAGCAACGTAGGAAAAGACCTGCTTTGACTCCATCAAGTTCTGAACCTTTGAATAAAGCTTCAAAAACTGGTCAAATGCAAAAGTCTCTTTCTGAAATGGCAGGTGCTGTCACAACTTGGGTAAATAAGAAAGAGAACAAGAACTATGTAACAATTGAAAGTGCAGTTGGTGCTCTACAAGCTATACCAGACATTGACGATGAACTTCTGTTGGATGCTTGTGATCTATTGGAAGATGAAAGAAAAGCAAAGACATTTTTGGCATTGGATGTCACCCTAAGGAAGAAATGGTTACTTAGAAAGCTTCGTCTATAGTATTTGCAGCAGTTTATGCAGTTTTCGAGTTTTAGAAGATTGACCACAAGAAGCACGAATGAGAATAGATGTTCTCGGCAGTTTTGCAGGAGATTTTTAAAGACGATGTTTAACAGTAACATCTCCAGATTAATTTTGATCAATATAACTTGTATTTTCTCAAATTGGATAAATATTGCCATGATGGATTTGCTAAGGCACATAGATGATACTAATGAGTGTCATTTATATGGTGGTCTTTTTTTTTTCCTTTTTTTTTTCTTTTTTAACTTTTGGTAAATGGATTCTTGCATTGCATTATCCATCACTATTTTGTTTAAATTAAGGCATGTAGATTTACATTTTATCTAATATTCTTGGGAGTTATTTTTTAAATATACTTACCTTCTATTTAGATTGTATTAAATAATAAAATTTTAATGTATGATATTTTACGGGTATAAGAAAATTATGTTTATTTTAATTTTCAATTGTTACAAACGATATTTAACTGATAAATTTGAGATTAATTTTAAAACTACCGAATCGATGGTATATAAATAACAGTTTATTTTTTTTTCCTTTATAACTTCATATAATATATTTAATTCTATTTTTATTTTCACATTTTATTATTTATTTTATTAAATATAAAAATTTAATTTATAATAATTATTTATTTAAATACAAATATAATTATATTAATAAATAATTTAATTTTTTTTATTATATATTTATTATATACTATTTACCATTATATAAATAAATAAAAATAAATTAATAATTTAACTGAAAATACAACTATACCATCGTATCATCTAAATAAAAATATATCATTAACATATATTAATATACAATAATCTAATATAAAAAAAAATTTATCATCAACATTTTATGTTATTGTTCTCCAATTATTGTTATTATCATACATTAATTAACCATTATTATAATTTATCAAACTAGAATGTTAAGTGAACTAGGTATTTTTATACATTTGAACTTCATTAAATGTATGTTATATTTTCCAGATACAATTTCAATACCATGTGACTTTTTTTTCCACTGCTTAACATGAATTTACATATGAGAATAACTTTGTCAGGACAATAGAATGAAGCCAAGGCCTAAAAAGAGATTAAAAACCTCAGAAAGCATCTTATATACATCAATATAAAGGCTGATGAGGTGGAACTCTGTTAAATTTTCAGGCTTCTAAATCTATGGAATCAATACATCGACAAAGGTTTTAAATAACAAAATTTTAGAATTATATACACACATATAATACACATTAGGTTAAAAATCTCAAAAAACAAGAGCTAACACCTTGAAGTGATTGGCAAGCTTGCAATGAGTGTCGTAATTTTATACCCCCACAAGGCCTTCTTAGCCTTGTGGTTCTGCATCGGAGAATTTCTCTAAATGCAAAAAGGATTTCAGAGAATTTATCAAAAAACACCGAAAATAAGTTGAGTGAACTTCGTTGACTACAACTCCTCCATGGGGGAATCTCTTCCATTGATCCTTCTTGAAGACCCTTCTTTCAGCTTTATTCTTGCAGAGCATTTCTCCTCCAGAGTTTTCATGTTTAAAATCACCAACTCTCCCCATTGTTGCTCTTTCTGCTTTTCACTCATCTTTTAAATTAAGAAAATATTTTCCTGGAACGCAGTCACATTTTACCCTCCCACTAAGAAAACAACTAGTTAACATCTCAGTTACATATAAGATCTTGTGGTTGTATACAAGGTTGCAAATAAATTTATGTTTAGAAATAGTAATGGCATCTAATTTTCCTATACAATGCAATTAGTTGCAAAATTTTGGCTCAAATGTTATTTGATGGGAAAATAGGAAAAATAAAATACTCTCATTTAAGTTCCAAAAAGCTGATATGATAACAAAATGCTACAAATGTTTTTTTCTTCTTATACCAGTTGGGACACCGTAACAAACTGGTGATGCCCCGATCAAAAAAGGGAGTGTGCAAGCTTCACGGGCTTGTGCCATGAAGGAGCCTATCTTTTTTCCATGATCACATGTATGATTATTACATGTAAAATTGTCATTATACCTCTCTGTTGCCTTCTTTCTTGAGACCTTCTTGGCCTTGCCTTTTACACTCAAGGCCTCAAATTCACTCACAACTGAATTACACTGGGCACAACTGATAGAAGAACTCAATCTTTCTTTCAACCAAGCATCAAGCATGGCCTTTGCAAATCGATTTATATCCTTGTCTGTTACTTCCCATAAATTTGCTATAGTGACTGGGGAACCTGCTAATAGGTAGGATAGAGAAGTACCTTGTGGAATGTAACAACCATTTAAAAACAATGAACCACTGCTGCATCCCATCAGGAGAGTAGCAGCACACTTTTCTAATTTCTGGATCTCGTGTTTGGAAATGTACTGTGCACCTGCAACCAGACACCAATCCAAATTAAAGATGGGGCAACGAGAAGTTCAAAAGCCAACAAAGATAAAATTTTTGTTTAGTGTACTCTGTCAAGCATACCACTTCCATGGCCAAAATATATAAATAGATCATGGCTTTTCAAGGCTGCAGCCAACTCTTGAGCTGTGGGTGCAGATCCAGCCTTCCCCTGCAAATTTATTCAGATAACATAGAAAATAAATGGTAATTAATTCTTCTACAAATGCAGTAATAATCATGATAAAATAACATAAAGATGATATTTATATATGTAAGAGAAAGACTAATGTTAATATCTTCAAAATCTTAAAGCATAAATGAGGGATCACCTCTAAGTTTTGATCTCTGAACCAAGTCTCAAACTCAAGTTGGGTACTACTTAAATCACCGCTAGGATTTAACAGATAAAAAGCATCCAAGGGATCTATTAAAGGGAATGAAGCAACAATCTGCGACAATTCTTCTTCATGGTGATGGCTTCTATTGAGAATAGCAGATATGCTACCCACAGATGGCATGCGATAGACTTCTTGGTTCCTTAATATTGGTATATTCTCCCAAGGAAGCATCTGCATATAATTACAAATCTGGTCAATTGATTAAGAGATATAAACTGCAAGAGGCAAACCATCTTCTATCTCTGAGGTTATGATTGGGAGTTAGAGGGAAAAGAAAAAGGAGTATTGGAATTTCTTCTTTTTCTGGATGACTAGAAAATAAAAAGAGAACTAAATAATTAACAGTTTTTTGGTTCTTGGACAGAAAAAAGTTTCCTTTTACGAAGTATCCAATCTAAGGAAGATAGTTATATCTTTTTATTAAGTTAATGTAATTTTCTTTCCCATTTATTCTCAATTTGGAGGAATACAAATATAAAATAGAGTGACAGAAAATGGAGGGTTAATTTTTCTTCCCTCCCCTCCACTCCTGTCAAACCTCCATGCAAACACAACCTAAAAGATTCTAATAAAAGCTAAAGATCAGGTTTCAACCAAGTTTTAAAATGTTCAAATCACTGGCATCCAAAAGGAAAACATCATGTTTAAGGAGCAAAATTTTCCCAAATTTCTGAATCAATATATCATGGACCATATGTTGAAAGGTCAAAATCATACACAATCAGCTTCAAGTTTTCATTCAGATCAAAAAGTTAATAAGACACATCTGAGCAAATTCCAGCAGATTAATTATAGGTTGCGTCTACCAAACTGGAAACTTGGATTGATTGGTCTGAAATCAATTTCACTTACGACTCCGAATAACTCCATTTATATTTACCACTACAGTCAAAGCAAAAGGCACAACTTTAAGTAATTGACCTTCAACTTTGATGAACTAACGTAATGCTTTACCATATAAGACAGAGATATGTCTGGAATGAAGCTATTATATAACAGAGAACTGTTACACAGTTTGGTTTTTTGAATCAAGATTACTTTCAAATTGTGATTACTGAAAATTCTATCCTAATTCATATTCTGAGGTCATGAATCATGACAACAATCATATCAGTAATCACTAATTTTAGTTTCAAAAAAATGTATCCTAACTCATCAAGTTAGATTCTAATTGACTGATCAATTTTTAATTTTTTAAAATTGAATGTTATTTGAAAACTTTTAGTTATGGAATGTTATTCATTAATTAAAGCATTTTTAATTTTTAAAATTAATTTGAACGATTGAGAAATGTTATTATTTCGTGAAAAATTAAAATATTATGAAACTAAAGTCAAGTATCACATATATGATCACCCTCATGGTAATTTTGCGTTCTTTTTTCTTTTTTTTTTTTGGGGAGGGGGTTACACTCTTTCTTCAACCTTTAATCCTGTCAAACCCAACATTGTAATAAGGTTTTACTGGACAATTATTAATTGTGAAACAAATATTATAATGAAATTATAATTTCATTGTAACATCATTCTATTCCTGGTGAATAACTATTATACTTTAGCATTCCATTTAGTGAATCAAATGCTGTAAATAAATTCAATCACTAAACAAAGAAATTCCAAGATCTATGTTTTGATCTAAAATGAAAATCACTCCAAGAATGAAAATCATCACTAGAAAAACCTGTTGAATACGCAGCATAAAAAAATCTAAATTTACTAAGATAAAAAAAATTCTTGAAATATAACTTACAAGAATGAAGAAAAACACACCTGAACCTCACTATCCAACACAAGAATTATGGGCTCCCTGTTTCTGTTCTCTTCCCCTTGGAGTTCATTTACTGCTCCATGTATCAATCTTAAGGCCAAGCAAGGCTGATTTTCAGCTCCATTAGATGCGTTGGTGGGTGTCCTACAACTCTCTTCATCAGAATATCTGATTGCACCAATGTAGCAACCAGTCTTTGGACAAAGCTGTGTGATGGATGATTCTCCTTTCAAGCCATCTATGCCACCTCCAATAATAACTTTCAGAAGAGACTCATTTACATCAACATTACATTTGGATTTCAGATCATGCACTAACTTCTTATGTACAGAGTCAAGATGCTTGCAGTTTGACCATTCTCCCAGAAGCACATATCTCCAGCGACCCAACCATGAATCTTCTAGGTTCCTAATTCATGAAAGCATCACATTATGTTATTACAAGACTATGTCAATTCCCCAAACTGAGAATCCTAGAGAGATCTGGTAGACACTTGCACCCCAATGCATGGTATAGTTACCAAAAACTTAGGTAGGTTTTGGTTCTTAGTAAAGTTATGTGAGTGTGGTACATCAGTCACCCATTGCCACCGGTAACATTAGGAAGGAGTAAATAATCGCCTTGAAGAATCACATGCATATGAAGTTTTTACATACAGAAATCAAATAGGACAAAGTCTTTAAACCAGCAAAGTTAACAATCATAGTTTCAAACAACATAGTTCTAAAATAACCAACACAAGCTAGACGCCCTAAACAAGATAGTTCTAAAGTCTCCAGAATTGTGGTCTTTAAAATTGTTTAAGCTAAAGTTTTTTCTTTTGTGCATACTAAAAGAAATCTTAAACAAACAATTCTGGGAATACAGTGCATGACAGAATCAAAAAGGAATGTACGATACCTATCACAAATGGGCAAGGGCTGTATGAATCGTTGTAACTATGTGCTAGATGCAAATTATAAAATTTACTCGATTTAGAGCAAACCATTAAAACAATAGAGAATATAAAATGAAGACATCTCTAGCATGAATAATGAGATAGTTTTATTCTCTTTGTTATCTTACAAGTGTAAATTTACTAATATATTTTTAATAAAAAAACAACAATATTTTTACCTCAAGCGTGTCATCAATGAATAAGAGAGAGAAATACTCATCTAAGCAGTTTACATGGTATCAGTTTTGTTTTTGTTGATTTCTTCTACTTGTTTCTTTTTCTATGATTTTCTCCTTCATCACAAGTAAAAACCAGTCTCTAATTTTGTCATCCAATTCATTACGAAGTCTTAATTCTCACTTTTCCTCGGCTATGATTCAGCTAAACATAATTCTTTAGGTGTTTCTAACATTAAAAACAACATTGTTGCAACTTCTAAAGAAAGTGTACAATACATAAGGGTAAATTACACTTTATATAATTAATTGTCAATTATTTCCTTTTCTATTCTAAAAAATCTATGTACATAAAGTTATGATGTTCAACAAAAAATACACATTCCATCACAAACCGCAATCGATCTTTATTGCCAAAATAAAATACAAAACCCTAAGGGGCCAGCCTTCGTTACCGGCCACTACAGACTGGCGTCTAGTACTGAAGAAGACAGTCTTCATAGTTGGAATCAGACTCTACACACAGCCAGACCTGCACAGCACGCAACCGGCTGCGGCCCCTCCTGCAGCACACACCTCTGTACAGGGACCAGAACCTGCACACCACCTTCTGCTTAGCCGTGTGATGCCCTCCTGCTCAGCTGCTCTAGATGCGGTTGCATTGCCCAAAGGAGCACAGCCACGTGCAACTACCTCAACCAATTGCAAGTTGGTCCCTCTGGCACCCCAGCCACAGAGACCAACCACCCCACTGCTCTACGCATAGTCATCAGCCATGCAGCCTCCTGATAAAATCCTTCCTGTAATTTTTAATCCTATCTTAATTAACCTATAATTCTCAAAATATATTCGAGATTACATCCCAATTATTGGAACAAATTCACACATAGAAAATTCCACCTATAACAATAGCAAATTTCAACAAATCCAGGCTGCTTGTTGCTTCACTGGGAAGGACCACTTGAGTTAGTCACAATTAATTAGGATCACTCTCAAGGGAAAAAGAAAACTCAACCACCTTCTAGCCACCAGACTAAACCAGGAGATCCAACCTTTGAAACTTAGGATGAGGAAGAGTCAATGATCAGTCACAATTAATAAGCAGAACAATTATGTTCTTGTTTATAGCAAAAGCAGTACGACATGCAACTAGAGAAACCTATTTTAAAGCCAAAGATGTAGCCCAAATTTATGACTTGAACGTCAAGACATAATCCACAAAGCATGTTAAAGTATGGTGGCAGGAATTGGATCAACAACCTTACTATGGATTGCAGTAAAGATGAAGCTCGCCTAAAGCACTTTGTGGATAAAGATCGTGCCTATTAGTTTATGACATGACTCAACCAAGATTTTGATGAAGTAAAGGGAGAATGCCAATATGCTTTGCATTGTTTCTCTTCCTAAAGTGAAGTTAGTTGGATCCAAGGGGGAGTTGAAGGCAAAGAAAACAACTAATTGTACTTTAGCAATGGTAATTCTCATCTTGCTGCAAAGAGCAACAAGTGTTGGCAAGGAATCGTTATGATATTAGAGTCTAATTATAAAATCAACAAAACACAAACGATTCCCTCTTCTCATCTCTAAGTCACTTGAGCTAGGATATTCATCAAACACATGTTTTTTTCACAAAAAAAGAAAAGAAAATAAATCTTATTAGATAGAAAAAGAGGAATACAACAATGGAGGACCAGTGTTCCTCCCAAAGAAGGAAAAATAGAATAGGATAAAAACTGTCAACTCATTAATAAAGGATAGATTCTCAATAAACAATAGCTGACCACTATTTACGCAAAATTGGCAACTCTTAATAAAGGATAGCTTCTCAATAAAGGATAGCTGACCAATATCTACACAAAACAGATAATAAATAATGTTTAAAGTGGAAATGCACCTCAACCTAGAGAATTCATCTGCTAGTTGTTAAAAATACTTTTCTCAGTGAGAATCTCAAGGAGGATGTGTTTAAACATATGAAATAATTATGTGATTTTCAGCGTTCTAATCATTCAAGCTGGTTGGTAAAATGCATAAAGATTTTTTTTGGATGAAAAGTGCACAAGTATTGATGTGGCTCAACACTGACTTCCACTGCATGGTTTCATAGGGTTCTTCTATTGGTCCTGTTTGTAGCAAATAAGAGACTTTTGAATTTGTTCTATAGTCTAACAAGCAAAGGACACTATTCTTTTTACCTAATTTCAGTTTCTTTCAACAGTGTTATGAGAGCCTTCAATATCTAATATTTACTGAACTAGAGCTCTACTGGTTTGTTAACCAAGCATGTCAATACATGCATGACAGAATGAAGATCATTTTTAGCATTGAAATGCATCTTGACATATATCAGTGGCACCAAAGCCTATGATCTTTAGCAGTACACTTCTTTGTTTATTCTGTTTAGTTATTTGTTCTGTGCCTATTGGTGTTGCTGTCAAGATACTAGAATATTGACAACTGGATATCTTTTTTTGGGAGTTCCACCTTGATCTCTTGGAATGCAAAGAAGGAACCAACAGTATCCAGGTTGACTGCTACGACACAAGAATGGGTGATGGCTATTGCCATTTCTAGTATTTCCAGATAACCAATTTATTCAACTCCATTTCAAGAGTTCTAGTCCGCTGAGATTGTAGTGTGACAATATCAGTTCAACCAGTATGGCCCCGAATCCAGTTAACCATACTAAATCTAAGCATGTGGAACTTGAATTGAATTCTGACTGACAAAAGGTGTCTTCTAATTAGTTACTTTTTCACTGTTACTCCAGCCAAGAGCAGCTAGCAAATTTCTTCAGAAAATGGCTCCAATTTGCATTGAGTTTGATTTTTTATGGATCCTCCGACTCACAGCTTTATGGGATTATAAAATAGGTTTTCTGTTGGCTCCTCCCACACAATTAAGTATAAATTTATAAGAGTTCTAGTTGTTCATAGTGGATGTACATTTTGACTTTAATGCCATCATCAATGTGTGTGTGTGTGTGTGTGTGTGTGTGTGTGTGTGAGAGAGAGAGAGAGAGAGAGAGAGAGAGTATTCATCTCATAAAAGCTTCATATCAGCAGCGCCAAAGGAAATACTTAAAAACAGATATCACAAAATAGTTCCCTACCTTAGCAATTTAGCAAGACATTGATCAATCTTCTTTCTCCGCATCCACCATAAAGACCTATTCTCTTTTGTATCTGGCAAGGGAAAATTTGAAGATGATAGGAAATTCTCCTCCAGTATCAGCTTATATGCTGGAGCTACATCATCCACCACTGTGGAACCCCATGGACACTGCCATCTTTTACCAACATTCTCTATGTCTTCCCCAGCAACAGAATTCATATCATCAAAATTTTCTGGTTAAGTAGTAACCATTACTTATCATGTTATAATTTATCCATACAAGAAATAAAGCACATCTGCTGTTTTTTAGGAAATGAAGATCCACCAGCATTAAGCAACATACCTTCTAAAACAGAATCCACTGGCAGAAGCAAAACAATAGGTTGGCTCCTAGAACACAACCGTGACAACAGCATCCATGCACGGACAGATGAAGGATGCAGTAATAATTCGTTTAATAAACTAGCAGAAGCACCTCCAATCAAACTAATGCAGACCACAGGGGTAGAAGGAAGGCCTTTAAAAAACTCCGTTGCAAATTTTTCAAGTTCTTGAATAGACTCAGGAGCAAGCCTGCTGCTGAAAGAAAATGAAAAATATTCAATTAACTGTAACTTAGACAGTGGTATAAGTTAATTGGAAAAAGTGGCAGCTGAGACCTGGAAAAATCCGATTTTCCTGAACCTATGCAAGTTGGGCCAGTTACCTGCAAGCCCTGAAAATATAATTATCAAATTAAAAACAGAATCTTTCAGTTACCAAACAAAATTCATGAGGTAGAATAGAACTTATGGGTCAGCTTATTTGACACATTTAACCTATTACGGATAACCCCTCCTTTGAAATGCTTCATCAACTCAACATTAGTGGCCTAGAGGTAAGGGAGAAGGCAAAAACCACTGTCACAAGGAGCATTGTCAAAATTATCTAATATTTAACAATTGCTCTTTTCCAGACATGATTCTATAAGAAAATTTGATATTTTTGGCTTCCCTGTGGGCCAAGGGGCATGGCAAATACTCTTGTCATTTCTGTGTCCCTTGCTTTTTTACTTGTATGCTTTGATCTCCTTTTAATTCTTGTTCAGTTGGATATCTTATCTGCTGTATTTTTTGTAACATTCACTTCTCTTTCTCAATAATATTTTTTTTCTATTAAAAAATGTATATGCTATCCATTTGCTACCACAATAAAAGCACAAATGCATTTCTTGAAATATAGTGAGATATGTCTCACTTCCATCCACAAACCTGAAATGGGAAATAATCATTGCAAATAAACCTAGAAATCATGGTCAAAGAACAAATAAATCTATTTTTTTTTTTCCACCACAGAAAAATAAGTTTGAGTTTGTTTAAACTCAGCCAAGTATCTTCCAACTACTTCCCATAAGACAGAATAATTTAGGACCAAACAGGCATAGGCTATTTTTTTTTTTTAGAAAACCAATTGACAAGAAGCAAAAGCTTTGAAGATAAAGAAAATATTTTGGTCAACATCAAAAATAGATGGTTGCACTATTTTGGTTCTATTGTTTTAAGATACAACCTTAATAACATGTCTGACTTGGGTCTTATTGTTGATATATTAATTGACCTGTAAATCTTACGTACATTGGTGGTGCCCCCTTGGAATCAATACATTAATATATTCTACACTTTTATTTCAAAAAAAAAAAGAAGCAAAAGCTTTGAGAAAACCAAACATCAAGAAGATATTTGTTGTAATGTCTATATCTATACAAAGAAAACAATATTTTTAAAGAAGATTATGACAAGTGATATGTTATGGTAACTACAAATAATATAAATTTATGAATTAATTTCTCAAAAAGTTGTATCACTTGTCAATCAGTACTAACTATTTAAAAAATAATTAATTATGAATTTAAGAAGTGATACAAGATATTATTAATCGGTGAGCTTTTTAAAATAGATAATTCTTATATTAATTATGTACTCTTCTTAATTTTTCTTCTTAAGTAATGTATTATTTTACTTTTAGTCATATTTTATACAAAAATTATCTACAAAATAACAAGCATCATTTTAGAAGCAAACATAACAACAGGTGATATTTTAACATAATACATAACTAGTAAGTATAAAAATATATAATAATTTTCTTCATAAAAACAACTGCATCATCTGCCAATGCGTATTATGCAAAAATATTTAAGTTTTGTAAAATATATTTATATAGAATTGTTTTATCTCTCTCTAATTTTTTTCTATTATTTAAGTTGAAAAATTTCAAAAAAATATGAGTTATTAACAGAAATAAAATATTCTATGCTAGTAAAGTTAATATCTAAAATGAGAATAGAAATATTGAAACCATAAAAATTATAATTAACATATGTAAATTTTCAAAACTTACATATACCAATATACACAAATTTTATATGAAATATATATGTACATCTAAGTTTACAAAGATCTCTTCACTCATTAATATAGAACAGTCATATACTATAATGAACTTTAATCATATATAAAAAATTAAAAAATAATTTAAAAGTAAATTTAGAAAACTAGTAAAATGATATGATTAAAGCTACATAATTCACTAGTAACAAAAACAAAATGCAATCAGAAGCTACACCTCAAATACTTATTCAAAAAATTTCAGGAATCACCCCAAAAAACACAGGTAATGAGATTTAGAGCCTAATGACATGAAATAACATCTTATTGTTGTGATTTTATCAATAATGGCAATGAATGATAGAACCACGATGAACATGTCCTACATGCATATTCTACAGGTCATAAAATATTAGACATAACACATCAAATTTAGCTTTACATGTAAGCAACCAAAGTAGTTAGTAGTAATTTGAAAGATTGGCAAAGAAAAATGCATTAAAGAAATAATCGAAATGCATCTTAATGTACTATAAATTGAGTTATGCCTCAGCCATGGAAACAGATAAAAATGAAAAGAAAAATCAACAAGAGAGAGAGATACCGAAGACTCTAAACAAATTTTACTATTCACTGTAGATATGGTAAAGATGACCACAAAAAGACTGACCTCAGGATTCACGAGGTCTGGGGATTTACATCTCGCACTCATATTTGAAAAGAACTTGTAACTAATGTGAGTCCCAAGGGAAGCTTGATGAAAATAAGAAGCCCATTGACTTTGGGATGGTGCATTATCAGAAGATGGCAAGCAGGAATCTTTGTTTGAAGCCGACAGTAAAAATATAGTAGCAAGCAATCTCGAGACCTGTTGCATTTTAATAAAAAGAAACCATTTTTGTAAGCAAAAATGAAAGTATGATGATGTAAGAGTTATATATGTACAAACTAAACATTAAAAGAAAAGGCTTCTTCTTTTTGAACCTTCAAGATTTGTCTTGAATCCATTTCTGGGTTAATAGTGCCTGGATGTTTAAAGAATAGACCTTCTAAATCTAGTTGATCTTTTAAATTTAATTAAATAGCTTACACTCTCACATGCTTTGGCATGAATAGAGATGCTTGATGCCTTGTTTATGAGAATTAGGGTTTTAGAAGAAATATTATTACAAAGAGATTACTCCAACCCAAAACAAGAAAGTACACGTAGACACAAAATTCTTTAGGACAAAATAGCAACGTAAATCTCTTTGCAAAGCAATAAGAGAAACAATACCCATCCACTGGGAATGAAAGAGTGAGAATTCTTTTGCGAAATAAATTTCAAACAATGTTGCTTGGATATTTTTTTAATACCACCATCTCTTTTAAAATAAAAGAATTCTCGGAAATTTTCAGAAATTACAGTATATATTGCAATTGAGAATCAGAACTTATTTGAAGCTGAGTTCTGGAGGTTCAAAGTTTCATTTATGAGCACCTATCAAATCCATACTTTCCCAATAACAGCAGACAGCAAATTTGCCCAATATTTATGCACATGAAAAGTTGCTTCTAGAAGGAACTTTAAAAGAAAATTTAAGCAAAAGATAAATTCAACATAGCAGTAATTTTAGATCCACTATGAAACCATAAAACGATCCAATTTCATTTTAGCTCTTTGGATTAAGGTCTAACCAATTTAATATATAGACCTAAAATAACCAGTTTATGTGCAATTGATTAATAAAATGTGTCAGGTACCTCATTAATAAACAAGAGTCTGACTCATAAGTGCCTGTAGAATACAAATCCTATTAGATGTAATTATAGTCAAAAACACCATTCGTATAAGGTTAAATTACACATTTTGTAATTAATTGTCTGTTTCTTTTTTCCATCCTAGAAAATTTGTACATATAGGGTTCTACTAATCAGTGATTCGCGCATAAAAAATCATTCTTGATAGGTCTCAATATAAAGTTTGATAAAGTGAGGATTCAGATACTGAGAAAAGAAGAAAGAATCCTTGAATGAGGTAATCTTTATCATTATTACAAAAGAAAGTGGGAGGGGCAAGTGCAGAAATCTGGCTCCAACGAGCTCCATTACACTAACCAGTGCGTCGAAAGCACGCCAACAAAACAAAAAAGTAAAGTCAACACAACCAAGATATGTGAAGAAAATTGAGACAACTTGTGGTTGACCTTCTACAAAAAAACAAGGCATACCAAAGAAAGATGTTGGAAGCTACATAATAATTCTCCCACCAACAAAGAATGGACATGGGAAAAAACCCAAAAGAGACCCCGAGAGTAGGCTCACTTGACCAATCAACAAGCGGAAGAAAAAGCTCTAGAGTACAAAGAGTTTAAAGAAGAATTTGAAAGGCTAAAGTTTCTATTTGAGTTTCTAAAGTACCAATTTATTAGCATGCTCAAGTAAGTTTTCTACTAGGAACCATTGATCATAGGGCAAATTCCTCTTCCTACTTTGTGCATATGCTCCTTTTCTAAGTAGCAAGAAAATAGTCATTGTAGATGGTTCCTTAATCACAATAGCAAGAGTAGGCAAGTCCTAATTTTACCCTTGAGAGTGTGTTTCATGTCCCAAAACTGTGCACTAATATTTTACCAGTGACTAAATTATCTATGATTTAAATTGCAAAGTAATCTTTCTCCTCTTTCCTTGTGACTTTTAGAATCAGAACTCGGGAAAGATGATTGGGCATATGCTAACGTAAGGAACGGATTATACTTCTTAGATGCACCTAGGTTATATCTCTTCACTTTATCTACTATCAGTACCGTCAAGATTTGGCTCCAACATAAAAGACTTAGACACCTTTTTCTTTCTACCCTTAAGGTTATGTTCTCTCTTTATTTAAAGGCCTCACCAATTGATATTTATATTGTAATGTATGTAAACTAGTTAAACATAAGCGTGTAATATTTCCTATAAGTGGTAAAAGAAAGATTATTTATTTTTCATTAATTAACAATGTTCTCTCTTTATTTAAAGACCTCACCAATTGATATTTATATTGTAATGTATGGAAACTAGTTAAACATAAGCGT